TGTGTGTGTGTGTGTGTGTGTGTGGGGGTGTGTGTGTGACAGTGCGTATTTGGTTGTGTGGGACTGTGCCCAGTGTCTGTCCCACTCTGGCCTCCTGTCCCCTCAGGGAGATCAGTCTCAATCATTACAGGCAAAGTCGTGCTGTTGAAGAATGAATTTGGTTACAATCCGGGGTTTCCTCAAAACCCTTACCGAGCCGCCAAGGGCCCAGTTACAGTGTAAGGGAGGATCGGAGGGTCCATTGTCCTCACCTTGTTCATGAGCCTCTCTGAAAGGCCTGGTTTAACCCCCTCGCAACACCCAGCCGCCCCCACCCACACCGATCGCTCACTCACCATCATTGGGCATGGTGAGGATGGGGATTTGTGTGATCGAGCCATTCCTGCCCTCCACTCGCCCAGCTCGCTCATAGATCGTGGCCAAATCCGTGTACATGTAGCCAGGGAACCCCCGTCTGCCAGGAACCTCCTCACGAGCTGCGGATACCTGCATGGGGTGGGATGGAGATCGGGAAAGTGGGGGCAGGGGGAGAAACACCCGGTGTGCCACCATTCCATTTATAATCAAGCTGCAAGCCGGCACAGCGTCTCTACCGTATTCACCCATACTTCCCTTCAGCCCATCCACCGTCTCCTATCCCCCGGTCCCCTTCCTGCTCCAGGAAAATCCAGATATCCTTCTCGGAGTAACTGGAATTCCGTTTCTAGAATCAAAAGATTAAATCGGTTCTGATCTACAATGCCGATATCGACACTCGTTGCGAAGATGCATTTGTGAATAGGGATGGAATGATAAAGATCACACTAATGTTGTCTTTGTGACCTCTTGTGCCTCTCATTTCTGCTTCATTGGTTCTTCAGCTGCCTGAGCCACAAACTGTGGCATTCTCTCCTTAAACCTGTTTGTCTATTTGGGTACAAACAGCTTCTCATTCCTCCTTTCAGATGCTCCCTAAAACCTTCCACTCGGACTCAGATTTCTGTCACCAGTCTGAACATTTCTCTCTGTCTCAGTGCCACACTTTCCATGGTTTTTACTTTGGCCTGGGCGATCTCTCTGTGTGGAACATTCGCACCCAATGGCAAGTGGGAAACACCCTGAGGTTCTTGCCCCTTTACTGGTGATTTGACCTCTTCCTCCTCTGACCCCTACGCCACACTCTCGACCCTCACCGTCCACTCAACAAACCGCATCTCAAGCCCTCATTCAGGCAAGTTACAGCTTTCTGGGCTCAACATTGAGTTCAACAATTGCCAACTTTCACCCCAACATGCAGTCTTTAGAACAGCAGCCTTTGTTGCTGATTCTGAACCCACTTACACTACCCTTCAGTCCATCTTTTGTCTCTGTACTAGCCCCATTCCTGCTCCCTCTTTGTTATGTGTGTTCCAACCATTCCTTTCATTCCTTTGTCTGCTCGCTCCCTCTCTCCTGCTGCCTCTAGTTAATTCCTATCTGCCTGCAGCATCAGTTAAAGCATGAATTATAAAATCATACAGTTCAGTAAAGGCCCTTTGGCCCATCAATTCTGTACTGCCAAACTATACAACTACCTACTCTTGTCCCATTCTCCCGCACTAGGCCCACAGCCTTGAATGTTATGACTGTATTGATCACTTTTTAAAGGTTGGGAGGTTTGTTGCCTCTGCTACCCTCTCAGGCAGTGCGTTCCATACACCCACACCCTCTGGGAGCAAAGTTTTTCCTCAAGTCCCCTCTAAACCTCCTGCCTTTCACCTTAAAATTATGTCCCCTTGTTAGTGAACCTCTAACTCAGAGGAACATCTGCTTTCTATCCACCCTGTCCATGCCCCTCATAACCTTATACACCTCCATCCGGTACCCCCTCAGCCTTCTCTGCTCCAAAGAAAACAACCTGAGCTTATCCAGCCTCTCGCTGAAATGCTCCGTCCCAGGCAACATCCTGTTGAATCTCCCTCTGCAACCTCCAACCCCCAGTGCAACCACAAACCTCCATTGTCTGCTCCACTGATGCTGCCTGACCTGCCGCAAGGAGATCATCAGAACGTTACTGCTTGTGGGATCTTGCTGTGTGCACACTGTCTTCTGCGTTTTCTTTGATTCATTCATGAGACGTGGGCATCTCTGCCTGGGCCCAGCATTTATTGCCCATCCCTAGTTGCCCCCTTGAGAAGGTGGTGGTGAACTGCCCTCTCGAGACACTGCAGTCCATGTGCTGTAGGTTGACCCACTGGGGAGGGAATTCCAGGATTTTGGCCCATCATTTAGAGTCATAGAGCAATACAGCATGGAAACAGGCCCTTCGGCCCAAACTGGTCCATGCTGACCATGGTGCCCACTCAGCATCTTCCAACTGCCCACATTTGTTCTATATCCCTCTCAATCCTTCCCATCCATGTACCTATCCAAATGTTTATTAAATGTTACCGTGGTACCTGCCTCAAACACTTTCTCTGGCAGCCCACCATATACGCACCACTGTCTGTGTGAAGAAGTTGCCTCTCAGGTCCTTCTTAAATCTTCCCCTCTCACCTTAAACCTATACCCTCGCATTTTCAATTCCCCATCCCTGGGAAAAACACTATATGCATTCATCCTATTTATGCCTCTCATGATTTTATACACCTCAATAAGGTCGCCCATCATTCTCCTATGTTCCAAGGAATAAAGTCCTATCCTGGCCAACATCTCCCTACACCTCAGGCCTACCAGTCCTGGCAACATCCTTGTAAATCTTCTTTGCACATTTTCCAGTTTAACAATGTCTTTCCTACAACAGGATGATCAAAACTGTACATAATACTCCAAGTGCGGCCTCACCAACGACTTATACAACTGTAACATAATGTCCCAACTCCTATACTCAATACCTCAACCGATGAAGGCCAACATGCTAAATGCCTTCTTCACCACCCTGTCCACCTGTGACATCACTTTCATTGAAATATGTACTTGTATGCCTAGGTCCCTCTGTTCTACAACACTCCTCAGGACCTTCCCATTTACTGTATAAGTCCAACCTTGGTTTAACTTTCCAAAGTGCGACATCTCACACTAATCTATATTGAATTACATTTGCCAATCCTCAGCCCACTTCCCCATCTGATCAAGATCCTTCTGTAATTTATGATAAACTTTTTCGCTATCAACGATACTTCCTAACTTTATATCATCCACAAACTTACTAATCATGCCTTGTACATTCACATCCAGATCATTTATGTAAATAACAAAGGTCTGAGCACAGACCCTTGTGACACACCACTAGTCACAGACCTCCAGTCCGAGAAACAACCTTCAACCATCACCCTCTGCTTCCTACCATTGAGCCAGTATTGAATCCAATTAGCTAGCTGTCCCTGGATCCCATGCGACCGAACCTTCATGACTAGCCTGCCGTAGGCACCTTGTCAAACGCCTTCCTAAAGTCATTATAGACAACATCCATTGCCCTACCCTCATCTATCGTCTTGGTTACCTCTTCAAAAAACTTTAAAAGATTTGAAGTTGTAGACACGCTCGCCGAGCCAGTGTGTTTGGTTGCAGGTGTTTCGTCACCCTGCTAGGTAACACCGTCAGGGCGCCTCCAGTGAAGCTTCGGTGTTCTGTCCCATTTATTATTTATATGCCTCAGTTTGCTGGGGTGTTTGGTACCTCTTCCGGTTCTGTTTCTCAGTGGTTTGTACACAGGGTCTAAATCAATGTGTTTGTTGATGGAGTTCCAGTTGGAATACCAGGCCTGCAGGAATTCCCTGGCGTGTTTCTGTTTAGCTTGTGCGATTATGGATGTATTGTCCCAGTTAAATCTGTGTCCCTCTTTGTCCGTGTGTAGTGAGATCAGTGAGAAATGTCATGTCTCTTGGTGGCTAGTTGGTGTTCATGTATCCTTTTATTGTCAGTTTTCTTCCAGTTCGGCCTGTGTAATGTTTCTCACAGTCCTTGCACGGTATTTTGTACATTATCCCAGTTTTGCCAGTTTTGGGTATGGGGTCCTTAACGTTAGTCAGTAGCTGTCGTAGGGTGGTTGTTGGTTTTTGGTACAGTCTGAGGAACGTTCACCGGGCCCGAAACGTTAACTCTGTTTTTTCCTTCGCAGATGCTGCCAGACGTGCTGAGCTTTCCTAGCAACTTCTGTTTTTGTTCCTGATTTACAGCATCCGCAGTTCTTTCGGTTTTTATATTGAATTAGACCCTGTGTACAAACCACTGAGAAACAGAACCGGAAGTAATACCAAACACCCCAGCAAACCGAGGCATATAAATAACAAGCGAGACAGAACACCGACACTTCACCGGAGGCGCCCTGACGGTGTTAACAAGCAGGAGGACGAACCGTCTGCAACCAAACACACCGGCTTGGCGAGCACGTCTACAACCTAAGCTACAAATTGTCTCAAAAATCTAAAAGATTTGTCGGACATGACTTCCCGCGCACAAATCCGTGCTGACTGTGAAATGGGCCATTTTTGGAAGAGAGTGAATCCAGGATGTCCTGTCACCCAGGTGTGGCCCCAGATTCGGTCAGGCCAATGTCTAAATTGTGTCCCATTCCTAGGCCAAAGTGTAAGCTGTGCCCTGACCCGATTGGAATGATTTCCCACGGTAGGAAATGGACCGTTTCCAGACAGGAGTGAATCCAGGAATGTCCTCCCGCCTGGACAGCCTCCAGGCCTGGGTGTGGCCCCTGGATTTGGTCAGGGCAGACATCGAACTGTGCCCCATTCCTGGGCAAGGGTGCGCTTCACAACCATTCTGCTTCATTGGTCATGAAGAGCTTTGAGCCAATCTGAGTTTGTGCAAGATGAGGAAAGGTCAGGAGGAGGTCATTCCACCCATCGAGCCCGGTCCTATCCTTCAATGAGATTGTGGATTGTCTTCTACCTCAGCGTCATTCTCCTGCAATATTTCCATGTCCCTTGATGGAAATTCAACATGTCCATAAAGACTCTAGCTGATTTTTATAGATGCACCATGGAAAGGATTCTGTCTGGGTGCATCACAGTGTAGTACAGCAACTGCTGTACCCAGGGCTGTAAGAAATTACAGAGAGTTGTGAACACAGCCAGGCCATCACACAAATCAATCTTCCATCCATTGATCCATCTCCACTTCCCACTGCCTTGGGAAAGCAATCAACATCATCAAAGACCCCTCCCACCCATTATATTCTCTTCCACTCTCTTCTGTTGGGCAGTAGCTATAAAAGTTTGAATATATGTACAAACAGATTCAAGAACAGCTTCTTCCCTGCTGTTATCAGACTTTTGAACGGACCTCTCAAATGTTAATGTTAATCTCTCTCCCTGTGCACCTTCTCTGCAGCTGTAACACTGCATCCTGTACTCTGTTCTGCTACCCTGATGCCCTTTGTATGGTATGATTTGACTGTAGATCAGGTAAGACAACAGTTTCCACTCAGTACACATGACACTAATACATCAAATCAAACTAAATCAAATTTTAAAAATGCCATTAAAATCTTCCGAAACCTAATGATTTCTGTCCTGAACTCACTCAAATGACTGAGCCTCCACAGCCCTGTGGGGTGGAGAATTTCAGTGATTTATTACCCTCTGAGTGAAGTAATTAATCCTCACCTTTGTCCTAAAAGGCCTACCCCTTATCCTGACTATGTCCTCCAGTTCTAGACTCTTCAGAAATCACACGACACCAGGTTATAGTCCAACAGGTTTATTTGAAAACACAAGCTTTCGGAGCCTCAGTCCTGTTGGACTATAACCTGGTGTCGTGTGATTTCTGACCTTGTCCAACCCCAGTCCAACACCGGCACCTCCACGTCATAGACTCATCAGGTTGGGGAAATGCCTTAACTACATTCACATCTTAAAAACACGACAGAAATAAGGCCCAGAGTCCTCAATCGTTCCTCTGATCGCCCACTTTACAGCTTTATTGGGTTCTGTTTCCTAACTGCAGTCAGAGTTTTTGGAACTCACTAGACCCTGAGATTGTTTATCAGAGGTTGCTGGAACAGCTCAACAGGTTTGTTAGCATCTGGCCTCTTCCTCAGAACTCGACCCGAAACATTAACTCTGATTTTACTTTCACAGATGCTGCCGAACTTGCTGAGCTTTTCCAGCAACTTCTGTTTTTGTTTCTGATTTACAGCATCCGCAGTTCTTTCGGATTTCATTGTTAGTCAGGGTCCTGATTGTCCCCTTTCCATCCTTAAACCGAGTGTGAACTGACTACGCCCCTTGTTTCTCTCTGACTCCGTGTCACCTTTGACCTTGGCCTGGACTCTGAACCTTTCAGTGTGGGATCTGGGTGTATATTGGTCACTCACCTCACGTAGGGCCTCAGCATATGAGCTCATATCCGTCAGGATGACCAGGACATGTTTCTCACATTGATAGGCCAGGAACTCGGCAGCAGTCAGGGCCAGGCGGGGAGTGATAATCCGTTCAATCCTGCAGGATAATCACAGTCGGTGGGAATTAATACCCATCTCAGTGAGGGAGAAGTTCCATCTCAGGTGCACACAGCTCTCAGAGCTAAACTGAGCTCTGTCCTCTTGTACCTCACGCTGGGTTCATTGGGTTTCAGTGAAGATTCAGAGCTAAATTATAACAACATCCGTTGGGATTGGAGATACTTCCTAATCCACCTGCTCAGGGATGTTCTGACACATCTACCGGAGAACGTGGAACTTGACCCTGGCCTTCTGGCTCAGAGGCTCGGACACCACCTACTCCACTCAGCTTATATTCCCCTTGGGAGGCCATTCAGCCCACTCAGTCTGCCCCACCATTCGTTGAGATCATAGTTGTTCTGATAACCCTCAAATCACTTTCCTGCCTTTGCCCCATATCCCTGGATCGTCTTACCAAGTAAATAGTACAGTGGCTCAGTGGTTAGCGCTGCTACCTTGCAGTGCTAGGGACCTGGGTTTGAATCCACCCTTGGGTGACTGCCTGTGTGGGATTCCTCTGGGTGCTCAAGTTTTTTCCCACAGTCTAAAGGCATGCAGGTTAGGTGGACTGTCTGTGCTAAATTGTCTTTAGTGTCTGGGTTAGCCATGGGAAATGCGGGATTATAGTGTAAAGTAGTCAGCTCCTCTATTCTTCCTGCCAAAGTGCATAACCATTTCCCACATGGGTCTAGGCCTGAAACATCAGCCTTCCTGTTCCCCTGATGCTGCTTGGCCTGCTGTGTTCATCCAGCTCTACACCTTCTTATCTTATATTCCATCTACCACATTTTTGTCCACTCACTGACCCTGTGTATATCCCTCTGCAGACTCTGTAACAACCACACCAGTTACTTTCCCACTTATTTTAGTGTCATCCACAAACTTGCATACAGCACATTTACTTTCCTCATCTACGTGATTGGGGGAGGTGATGGTCCCATTGTATGTCCTTGTTCTTCTTTCCTTCTTTCTTTATTCCTCTATTTCTTTATTTTTCTGCCTTTATATTCAATGTTTTGGTTTACTTTTATGTGTTTTAAGATGGCGCCAGAGAGTACTGACGCCATACAGCACTTCTTATAGCATTTTGTAACAGAATACACATGACAATAAATAAACCATATCAAATCAAATTATTGCTAGACTATTAATCCTGATAACATTCTGGGGACCTGGGTTCGAATCCTGGAATCCTGGATCGCAGAATTTGAATTCAATAAAAATCTGGAATTAAGCATCTAATGAATTGTCAATTGTCAGAAAAACCCATCTGGTTCACTAATGTCCTTTAGGGAAGCAAACTGCCATCCTTACCTGGTCTGGCCTACATGTGACTCCAGACCCACAGCAATGTGGTTGACTCTTAAGGCAGTTAGGGACGGGTAATAAATGATAGCCCAGCCAAGTGATACCCACATCCTGTGAATTAATTATAACAAAAAATTGGAAGGTAAACCCAGGATGTTGATAGTGGGGGGTTCAGTGATGGTAACACCATTGAAGGTCAAGATGCAGTGGTTAGATTGTCTCTTATTGGTGATGGGCATAGCCTAGCAGTAGTGCAGCACAAATGTCTCCGGGCATTTGTCGGCCCAAGGCTGGGTGTTGTCCCAGGTCAGAAGTCACACGACACCAGGTTATAATCCAACTGATTTATTTGGAAACACAATTGGAGGACGTTAACCCGAAGATCAATGGGGCGTTTTATAAATTCCTACTTTAGTAATAAAACCAGTCTGACTCCAAATCAAAACACAAACAGGTTCTAAACAAGGCCTCACACCCAACATGCATTGTCTGACCTAAAATGTCACCTGTTCTTTACACTGATAAAGCCTTTAGTTCTCTCAGGACCATGACTTGAAAGGGATTTGGAGATTTATATATACATATTAATCAATTAAAACCTTCTAATTGATTAAAGATATACAGCATCTTAGGTTTGTTTAATACATCCTTGTCGATGTTGTGACCCTTTGATCTTTTACTTATAAATTCTGTGTCTGATACCACCTCTCTCACTAACACCTGAAGAAGGACTGAGGCTCCGAAAGCTTGTGTTTCCAAATAAACCCGTTGGACTACAACCTGGTACAAAAACAGAAGTTGCTGGAAAAGCTCAGCAGGTCCTGGCAGCATCTGTGAAGGAAAAAAACAGGGTTAACGTTTCGGGTCCGGTGACCCTTCCTCAGAACCTGGTGTCGCGTGATCTCTGACCTTGTCCACCACAGTTCAGCACTGGCACCTCCACATCATGGGTATTGCCCAGGTCCTGCTGCATTTAGCCATTGGGCTGCCTCAGTATCTGAGGAATCACAAATGGTGCTGAGCAATCAGCAAGGGATATGGGCCCTGAATCCTTTTTTTGGAGTTTTGTTTCATGTCCAATCTCATCAGACCTGGGGACTCTTCCTGCAGTCCTGCCTTCTACCACTTGGTGACACCAGAGCACCGTCTAGGTACTGAGGCCCATAGTGTCCCCTAGAGTCAGGAGGTGGTCACTGCTCCTCACCTCACAGAGCCTGCCCCCATGTGGTTTGCTGCGGAACCACACCGATCTGCAGGATTATTAAAATTTATTTACCAGGAATCAACCAAACCTCCTCTACCTCACAGATGACCGAACGACCGGATTAAAACTACGCTACATGCAAGTAAAAACTGGTGGAAAAACATTGGCATTTGTGCGTGCTCCCCATCAATCGAGCTAGATTGTGACAGGAGTTAAATTTGCTGACAACACCAGGTGAAGTGGGAATTCGGTTGCTAAAAGGAATGAAACAGTCTGCAAAGGAACAGCAACAGGTTCAGTGAGGGAGTAGAAATCTGGCAGATGGGGTATAATGTGGGTAAATGTGAACCTCTGGCAGGAAGAAAAGAAAAACGGGACGCCATTTAAATGCAGAGAGCTTGCAGGAGTGCAGAGGAATCTGGGAGTCCTAGTTTATGAATCACAACAAGTTAAGGCAACTGGAATATTAAAGCAGATGTTTGAAACAAACACACAGTTGTTTCAGAAACAGTTCAGAGAAGGTGTACATGACTGATTATGGGTATAAAAGGTTGACTCTATCAGGAGGGGTTGAACAGGTTAAGCCTGTGCCCATTAGAGTGAGAAGATGAGGTGACCCTACTGGAGCATGGAAGATCCTGCAGGGACTGGACAGGGTGGATATCTTATCATGGGGGAAGTCAAATCAAGGGGATGCTGACCAAGGATCAGCTGTCCTCCATCATTGGGGGTGCAATGGCCTAGTGGTATTATTGCTGGACTATTAGTCCAGAGACCCCCAATAATGCCCTGGGGACCTGGGTTCAAATCCTGCTGTGGCAATTGAATTCAATAAATGTCTGGAATTAAGAGCCTAATGATGACCATGAATCTGTTGTCGATTGTTAGAAAATCCCATCTGGTTCACTAATGTCCTTAAGGGAAGGAAAACTGCCATCCTTACCTGGTCTGGCCTACATGTGACTCCAGACCCACAGCCATGTGGTTGACTCTTAACTGCCCACTGGGCAATTAGGGATGGGCAATAAATGCTACCCCAGCCAGTGATGCCCTCATCCCATGAGTGAATAAAGGGAAAAAAATACAGAGACAAGAAGAAATGTTTACTCTGAGAGGATCTTTGTACCATAAGATACAGGAGCAGGGTTAGGCCATTCTGCCCATTGAGTCTGTTCCACCATTCGATCATGGCTGATATATTTCTCAACCCCACTCTCCTGCCTTCTCCCCATAATCCTTGATCGCTTTACTAATCTATCTCTGTCTTAAATACACTCAATGACTTGGCCTCCACATCCCTCTGCAGCAATAAGTTCCACAGATTCACCACCCTCTGGCTGAAGAAATTCCTCCTTATCTCAGTCCTAAAGGGTCGTGCCTTCACTCTGAGGCTGTGCCCTCGGGTCCTAGTCTCTCCCTACAAGTCATTAAGTGTATTTAAGACTTAGAGAGATAAATTAGTAAGGACATGCAGGGTTATGGAGAGGAGGCAAGAGAGTGCAGTAGAGAGACAGATCAGCCATGATTGAATGGTGGAGCAGTATAAACTCGATGGGCTGAATGGCCTAATTCTACTCCTGTGCCTTCTGGTCTTATCTTTAGACTGTGAGAATTCTCGTCCTTGGAAAGCAGTGAGGGCTGGGCCTTTGAATGACTCGAAGCTGAGTTAGACACATATTGGGTAGGGAATGGAGAGGCGGTAGTGGGAGGCAGACAGGAGGGCAGAAGTTGAGAATACAGTCAGATCAGCCAGGAGCTTCTCAAAGGGCAGGCAGGCTTGAAGTTCTCAATGGCCTGTTCCCCTGCTCCAAGCTCCACAATTCCCATAACAACAAACAGTTTCCAACAGCTATGTCCCTGTCCTGGAAATGCTTAGTGGGGGCAGTGTAGAGGGAGCTTTACCCTATATCTAACCCCGTGCTGTCCCTGTGCTGGGAGTGTTTGATGGGGACAACGTGGAGAGAGCTTTACTCTGTATCTAACCCCGTGCTGTCCCTGTCCTGGGAGTGTTTGATGGGGACAGTGTAGAGGGAGCTTTACTCTGTATCTAACCTCGTGCTGTCTCTGTCCTGGAAGTGTTTGATGGGGGACAGTGTAGAGGGAGCTTTACCCTGTATCTAACCCCGTGCTGTCCCTGTGCTGGGAGTGTTTGATTTTGAAACTGCTGAAATAGAAAATATACTGTTCTGTTTCCCGAAGTGAAATGTGTGTTGTCAACCAGAAGGATTTAGACCAAGTCAGAGCCTTACGTAGGGTCATTGGCGAGATTGAGAAACAGGCAGACATTGTCCATGGTGCCATTCTCTTCGAAATCGGATTTGAAGAATCGAGCAGTCTCCATGTTCACCTGTGAGCCGCAGGAGAAACAGATGCACAGTTACTAACCTACCTGGATCACCCACTCCCTCCCCCAGGGTTATACACTGCGTCAGTGACATTGGCACTGCAGGTCATCCTGGGCCAGCAGCAAATGTGTGTGTGTGAGTATGTGTGTGTGTGTGTGAGTGTGTGTGTGTGTGAGAGTATGTGTGTGGTGTGAGAGTGTGTGTGTGTGTGTGTGTGTGAGTGTGTGTGTGTGGTGTGAGTGTGTGAGTGTGTGTGTGAGAGAGTATGTGTGTGTGGTGTGAGTGTGTGTGTGTGTGTATGTGTGTATGTGTGATGTGTTTGTGTGTGTGTGTGAGAGTGTGCGTGTGTGTGTGTG